GCAGACCAGCACTTCTGTACCCAGTAAGAAAAATAAGAGACCTAAACCTATAACTCAAGTCCCTTCTCAGAGCCCGGTAGCAGGACGCGATAGGATTTACCAGTATTATGGCAAAGATCATGGAGACCAATCATGTGATTGCCTCAATAATACTTGTCACATATGTGGGAGTGCCCAACATTACGCGAGAGAGTGCCCACAAAATCATAATCAAGCCAGACCTCTCATCCAAGGCAGAACTTACATCATCATCCAGCGGGATGTTGAAGCCAATTCGGACGTGATACATGATACATACACTATCTGTAACCACCTTACACATGTTTTGATTGATAATGGTGCTTCATATTCTTTTGTCTCACATGCTTTTACAAAAAATTTAAATGTATTACCTAAAAATCTTCATTTTGTACTATTTGTGTCTACTTTTGAGCATGAGACACTATTAGGGGAGGTCATATACAAAGCTTGTATTGTAGAGATAGCCGATAGAAAACTGAGCGTAAACCTGATAGAAATAGACACGAGGGATTTTGATGTAATTCTAGGGATGAACTGGTTAGTGGCATATCACGCCGCCATAGACTACTTCTATAAGAAGCTTGTATTCAACCTTCCTAATGAAAAGTCATTCACAAATTAATAAAAGTGTTAGATATTTTTTCCCTCATGGCAATTGCATTATTATATGATGCTTTAACTTAGTTATCTTTTCTACATTAGGTAAGGCTAAGCAAAAAATCTGCATCAAAGAGATCCTTGTGGTCCGAGAATTTTTGGATGTATTTCCTGATAAGCTACCCGAACTGTCAGTGGATAAGGAAATCAAATTTATCATAGATCTTTAGTCTGACACCCAGCCTATCTCAATTGTCATTTAGCGCATGAGTCGGGTAGAGATAGAAGAGCTAAGCAAACAAATCAAAGAATTGCAGGATAGTGGGTTCATCCAACACAATATATCTCCCTGGGGTACTGGAGTCACGTTTTCAAGGAAGAGGGATGGGTCCCTGAGGTTGTGTATTGACTATAAGAGATTGAATATAATCAATCAATAACAAGTACCTCCTCTCCTGGATTGATGATCTTTTCGATCAGTTACAGGGAGCTCAAGTTTTCTCCAATATAGACTTACATTCAGGTTCCCATCAGGTAAAAATTAGGGCAGATGACATTCTCAAGACAGCCTTTAGGACTAGGTACGGATACTGTGAGTTCCTGCTCATGCCATTTAGGCTAACCAATGCGTCAACTATTTTTATGGACTTGATGAATAGGATTTTTAGGCAATTCCTGAATTAGTTCATCATTGTGTTCATTGATGATAATCTAGTATATTCAAAAAGCAGAGAGGAACATGTTCATACCTGACTCAATTTTTATAAGTTCTCAAGGAAAAAAAATTGTACGTAAAATCGAACAAGTGTGGGTTCTAGCTTGAGTAGATTACTTTTTTGGGGCACATAATATCAAAAGATGGGTTGTCAATGAATCTCAAGAAGGTTGAGGCAGTACTCGGTTGGAAAAAATTAACTTCGGTTAAGGAGATCCGTAGTTTTCTAAGAACGGTAGGATATTACCGTAAGTTTGTGGAATGGTTTTCTAGTCTAGCCATTCCATTGACCCGACTTATAAAGAAGAACGTCATGTTTGAGTTGAATAAGAATTGTGAAAAGAGGTTTACAGAACTCAAGAAGCGATTGACTACTGCAACTGTGTTGATTCTATCGAGTGGGACAGGTTGATACATAGTGTATAGTGATGCCTCCTACTTGGGGTTGGGTTATGTTTTTATGCAGCATGGGAAGGTTATGGCGTATGGGTCCAGACAGTTGAAGAGTTATGAAAAGAATTATTTCACCCACGATTTAGAACTTGCTGCTATTATCCATGCCCTGAAGACCTAGCACCACTACTTATATGGAGAGACTTTTGAGATTTATAGACCATAAGAGTTTGAAGCATATATTCACAAAAAAGGATATCAATATGCATCAGAGGCATTGGATAGAACTCCTCAAGGATTACGATTGTAAGATTTTGTATCACCCGGGTAAGGGCAATGTGGTAGCCGACGTGGTTAATAGAAAAAGTGCAGGTATGTTGGTTCACTTAATAGTTTCTGAATGCAGGGTAATAGGGGCTGTACAACGGATACGGCTTCAGGACTTGAAGAGGCTTACATGCTTGACCCATCTAATAGTCAAATCCGAACTGATTCAGAGAATAAAAGAAGCATAATTGACCGATTTTACTCTACTAGCTCTCAGGAAGGATATAGAATAGGGAGTAAATCCAGAGTTCTGAGTCTCTATTGATGAGTTTCTTAGGTTCCAAGATAGGGTGTGTGTCCCAGATGACAGTGAACTAAAAATAGACATTATGACAGAGGTCCATAGCTCAAAGTTCATAATGCATTCTGGAAGTACTAAGATGTACCAAAATATACGATCTCGTTTTTAGTAGAGGGGGATGAAAAAAGAAATTACCAATTTCGTCTCCAAGTGCCATGTATGTCAACATGTTAAGGCAGA